CTGAGGCTGCCGCTGCCTCAGCCGCACCCGCAGCCCCCGCCGCCCGTCGTGCTGCCCGTCCCGCGTGAGTCCCGCTCCTGTCCCAGCAGCGTGCTGCTCCACACGGGGCCCAGAGAGTTCTGGGGGCTCAGCTGCTAAACCGAGATGTTCCTAGCACTGCAGCCTGAGTTCAGTTCTGGGGGCTCAGCTGCTAAACCGAGATGTTCCTAGCACTGCAGCCTGAGTTCAGCTGGGCAAAGGAGGGAGTCAGGGACCTTGCAGCTCACCTCTGTGGTAGTTGGTATTGATTGGATTGGTCACTGACACTTACTAGCCATGTTGTTTTCTACTGTAATGCAAAAAATACTGAGATTCAGTCTCCTAGAGGTTCTAATAAAGCTCCAGAGTTGATGCTACATTATCTATCACTGGAAAGCAATACATTATTGGCACATTTAAGATCTTTCCTAGCTCTGCAATGATCTGAGATGTTACATCTTACAGACTCTGTGAAGAAATAGCATATTAGAGGCATGCTTACTCTGTTTCAATGCTGTCTATTCCAGGCACAAAATAAATGCTGTGATAATTGTGTCCAATATCAGCAATTTTGGGATGCGGAAAAATTTGATACAGGATTAACCCTAAAATTTGTATGAGCCTTTCAGCAGGTGGAACTGACTTGCTGTGAGAGAGCAGACAGTGCTCAGGATGGTCTGTGTAGTGTCATTCCAGGTCCTTTTTGATCATGGAGTCAGTAGGAATGTCTGTATGGTATGTGTGGAAACCAAAGCACAACATCTAGAGAAATTCCTTGTCTGGGAATGCCTCTTGCCCTGCAGCTCTTGTTTCGGAACTGCAACCGAAATGCTGCTGATGTGATCCCTTGCTCTGAGCAAGCCTCAGCTCTCCATGGTAGAGCTGAGGGAGGAGCTGCTGTGGTTAAGACATCTCTAGCACTAACAAACCACTGGGGAAGAAAGTTTTTTCTTTTCCCTGAGAGCATTGTCTCCTGAGAAAGAGAAAATGTGTTGGAATCAGAGTAGCTTACCTGAACAGGCTTCTCAGTTTACTGTTACTGTAGTGGGATTGGGCATATTTACAGCCCTGACCTTGCTCAAAGCAAGGCATAAACACAGCATTGAATTGTTTTCACATTTTGCCTTTGAGCTGTCAGTGTGTGATCTGTTCTGTGGTGTCGTTGCAGGACCACCTTTAACACAGTCCAGCTTGATAAACAGTCGTGACCAGCCAGGGACGAGCGCAGTGCCCAGTCTGGCACCCGTGGGAGCAAGGCTGCCTCCTCCTCTGCCTCAGAACCTGCTCTATACAGTGTCAGAACGTAAGTAAATGCCCTTTGGGTTAAATCTGTTTGATGGAAAAATTGTAAATTTCCTCTGTTGATGGATGATTAGAAATTATGATCTGTCTTCCTCCAATATATACCAATCTAAAAAGAAGTCTGATGGCTCTCCCTGGGTCAGCCCATCATCCATTCCAGAATGGAATGGCAGCAGTGCTCTGTCCTGGTCTGAGGGGAAGCTCTGTGGGGAGCTCTGGGTTTCACGAGCTCACAGCAATCCAATTGCTGCATAAGAAATGTTCCTTTCATCTTCAAGCCATTCAGTAGGACATTAGTAATTGAAAGATGGATCTGCAAACCTGTAATTGCTGTTTAACTTGGGCTTTATTCCTTTCCAGTTTGGACTAATACAGATGAGAGCTTTTTTTTTTTCCCAGTTGTATGTTGCAATAGTCTGTACAGTCTTCATGGACATCAGTACTTTTCCTACTCTTTTTCCAGAATCACCCTGGTTCTAGCTTTCTAAAAGTTGTTAGCTTTCACTGGACACATCCCTCTTCCTCAACAGAGTTCAACATTTTTAAAAGTATGTTTTTATGAGGGAAAACAGAAAAATACCTGGAAAGTCCTAGATTACCAAATTTAAATACAACAAAATTTATTTCTTTGATAATTGAAGGATTAATGGCATTTCCATGTTCTATATGACCAAAATAAAATAATTAAATGTCAGTGTTTTATAATACTCTCATCTGGGGTTTTTTAACATAAATATTCTGAATTTTATTCAGAGAGGGGATCTACTTCAGTTCATGATCCATGTCATTTTATTTGTGACTTCCATGCTTTTCAGAGTTTCAGATACTCAAATTTCTTATTAGATAATCTGTTCAGTTATCCCCAGGTCCTGTTGAGTGTCACCATCTGATCTTTTCAGCTCCAGAACTTCTAATGGGTGATTCTGCCTCAGAGCTCACAGGGCTTCACAGTAATTCTGTTCTGCAGAACCTCTGTGGAGATTCTCGTGTCCTGTTCTTGGACTGTTGTGATAGCAGCTGCTGGTTGCCCTCCTGCAGTCAGTCATGTCCTAAATCAGGGAAGAGGAGCTTGTGGTTCAGCTCCTTCAAGGTTAGAAGTAGTTCTTGTTTTAGAGTGTCAGGCTCTGCTATCAGTGTGGGTATTGTGGAGCATCTGTTTTTAACTGTAGAGTTGTCTTTGTTGCTGCAGAATAAAGAACTGAGATTTTGGAGGAGTTCATGTCTGTCAGGTTCCCTTGTACAGGCATTCATTCTGTTCCTGGATGTACTGTTCCTGTGGAGGCACTTCACAGACTTCATTCATTCTACTTCTTGTACAGCTTTTCCTGTTTAAGGTTAAAAAATGCATTATCCTCAATTTGGACCTTGGGCTGGAGGAGCAATAGGAGTAAATTCTGTCATCTTATATTCTTGTGGTGACCCTTCTAATGAAAATGATCATTAGTACCTTACCTAAGCTAGGCAGCTGATCTCACTCTTGCATAAAGAAAATTCAGTAGGTAAGTATTGGTTCCATTACCTCATTTCTCAGGTTTTTTTGATTGAAATAATTTAAATATGTTCTTCACCTAAAATTCTTTTCTGAGGAGAACTAGACTGTTGGACAGCTAAGGCTAAAAATATCTTTGCATCTTAGACTCTACAGTATAAATGCTGAAAGCAAAGCCTGTGTTATTGCCCTTAAAACACTGCCAGACGTTGTGCACGCTGTCACACAGACACCTCAGGCCCTTCCAGACAGTGGATCAGCAGTGCTCTGTATTGTGACCTGTGTTCTTTGGACAAACAGCACCAGAATAAAAAACAAATGTGTCCAGATAGGCTAGGCCTGAAGATCAGGTGAGGGTTTGCAATGGCTGCACAGGTTGGCTGTACCACCTCTCTTCTTTCATCCAAGACAGCTTCTGACTCTTGGACATCTGTGCACTGCCTTAAAGGGAAATTAACCCCGAGTCTTAAACTCACCTGAAAAATTCTGTCGTTTCTCTCCTTTTTTTGTAGATACATATGAGCCAGATGGCTATAACCCTGAAGCTCCTAGTATTACCAGTGCTGGTAGATCTCAGTATCGGCAGTTCTTTACAAGAGCACAAATGCAGCGTCCAAATCTAATTGGCCTAACATCTGGGGAGATGGATACAAACCCTCGAGGTAGGAAGGGTTCTGGTCATTGCTGTTGCTATTTTTATCCAAGACCGTCAATACTTTTCCCTCTTTTCAGGCTGAAAGCACTAGTTTTTCTCACTGATCTAGTGTTTCAGAGCATTTTTTGGGACATTTCTACCTTTTTTATGTGTTAACTTGCCCATATTGAAGTCAAAACAGGCTTTTTTATTAAAAATAACCACTTGCTTGGGAGTGCTGCAAGGGTTTTGTTGGTTGGTTGGGGTTTTATTCCTCTTAAGCCTGTGAAGGTATTTTCCAGGTACTGGAAGCTCCTAGAAACAAAAATGGTGCCTAAAAATGTCTTTTGCAGCACAGTCTGCAGACTGCTTTTGATCAGCCATGGGCACAGAGGTGATGATCCAGGCTCCTTGCCTTGGCTGTGACGGTAGGGAAGAAGGGAACTCTCGTGGTATATTTGGTGCTTCATGGTCTGACTCTGTCAGCCAGGTGTTCTCTCTGAAATGAACATTGCAGGTATCATTCCAGTTTCCCAGCTCATGGGAATCCCAGTCTGTACTCACCTAATTTCTAGCCTCTGCCTGAATGGATGTGGCTGCTGTCTCTTAGTGGTGATGTGTACAAAGTATCTGTTAGGTAAGGGCACAAGTCAAGGCTCTTCAAAGTTTAGTTGTGGTAGCAAAACTTTCTTTCTCCCTGGTGTTTTTCCTGCCTGATTCTTAAAACCAGAGATGTTAAATTTTGTGTTTTATTGTTATACTTCAGTATCTCTTACTCAATAGATAAGATTTTTTAAAATTTTATTTTCAGTATTTCCTTCCAATGACTCATCACATAAGGAATATGGTTAAATATTATTGTAGAAATTGCTGTTGCTGTTTTCATCTTAATGACTGTCACAGATGCAGGGTTGGAGCTTAATTGCTGCCCCTCACATTCTCTCTGAGAGCCCATCCCAAGGGTAAGGCAGGGATGAGTGCTCCGTGGCCTCACACAACTTGTTTTACTGTCTGTCACAGGTGTAAAAGGTTTGCTCTCAGATCCTCCTCCAAAGTGAGGATGCCATACCCAGAAATGCCCAGTCTCTGTTCTTACCAGTGTAACCAGCAGAGCCCTGGCTTATGTAAAAGCCATAGAAATTGCTGTACAACTCAGACTTCTTTTTAGGGGTTGAATATTTGGCATTCACAGGCGATTAACACCAAGAGCATAATCTTGAAAATATTGTAAATAAATTTATAGCAAACTCTGTGTTGGTAGAATTTGCTTCAAACTTTAAACCTAATGTCTTGAAGGAGTGTAATAGTTGTGCTTAATTAACAGTTTGCTGCTGAAACTTGGCTGGAGGACTGGCAGTGGGATAGCAGTGGAAAGAACGGGTTCTTTGTTGCTTTTGCTCTGTCAAGGGTTCACACAGGGCAAGCTGGTTATTAATTCAGCCCCTGCCCATTGCACAGCCCTAACCTAAAGCCTGGGGATCCACCCATGTTTCTTTTCCTCCTTCTGTTTTGTTGGGATTTGGAATTTTTTTTTTCTTCTTTTTTAGTTTCTTTCCTTTTCCTGCAGAATTTGAGTTTTTAGCACCTGAAAAATGAAGCTTTAGCTTTGTTTCTTCAAGCTAATACTAACCTTAAAGGTCAAATCCCATCCCTCCTAGCTGGACCACATGTGTTTCTTTCAGGATGTTTAGTTAGGCTAGGAAATAATATGAATGATTTTGTTCAGAAACAAAACTGACCAATTTGATAAAGTCTTGCTAATGTTTATGTTTTTAATCTCAGTTCTGCTTTGCTGTGTGAAAGCTTTTCCATGTGTTGTGGAATAACACAGTCCTTTTTCCTTCCCTCCAGCTGCCAACATTATCATCCAAACTGAGCCTCCCATTCCCATTACAAATAACAGCAGCAATGTCACGAGAGTTGTTCTGGAACCAGACAGCAGGAAAAGATCTCCAAGCAGCATGGAATGTCCACCATTGAAGAAACCCTGGTTGGGAAAGTAAGAATTAGCTACAGATGTTAATCCAAATGTACTTGGTTGCTGTCAGTGCTATGAACATTGCTGTTCATCAGTCTCTGTAATTTGGGATGGTTGGGTCAGAAAGTCTGTGTCTACATAATATGGAGACTAAACATGGGGTCAGGGGGAAGCTCTTTTTGTTAGTGTCTAGAGGGTGTACTTCTTAAGGGAAAAATGCCATTTAGATGTGTGTTAACATTTGCTGCCTTACATGGGCACACATGTACTTACCTGAACTCTTTCTGTTCTCCTTTTCTCTAGGCAAGTAAATAACAACCAGAATAAGCCAGGGTTTTTGAAAAAGAATCAGTATACTAATACAAAATTAGAAGTTCGAAAAATTCCACCAGAATTGAACAATATTACACAGCTCAATGAACACTTCAGCAAATTTGGAACTATTGTAAACATTCAGGTAAAAATCCAAAGTCCAGTTTTATGTTTGTGTGTGTGCATTTTATTTTCCCTGAAGCCTGCTTCAATACTGCATGGTTTCTTTGAGAAATCTTAGTGGATTTGGGAGAGGAGGTAATCAAGTTCAGAGAAGCCTTTTCTTGGTCTACTGTGTATTATTGTATTAATTCTGTGAAACATATTGGCTTCTGCCTTCATGATGCCTCATTATATTTGAAAGGCCGAGAGGTTTAACAGCATCTAAACCAACTCAGGTTTTTGAGCAACTTGTGTGTGACTTTGGAAAGAGATGAACTGACAGTTTGTCTTGTATGATAGTCTTGTGGTGTTTGATGGTCAGAGTTTTGACAAGGATGCTACAGAAGAGTCTTTATCTGCTTCAGTTTGTTACCACTTGGTGTCCTAGAACTAGCTCCAACTCAGAGGTGTCCTTGCCCTGTAAAAAATGGAAAAAGCACTTGGAAAAAGTAGTAGTCAAAAGAGCATTTAATTTCCATTTATTTTTCTAGACAAATTGGTTGACTCTCAAGTCCTCAGTTGGAGGTCTAAATAAGAGACAGATACTTGGCAAGTTCTTGATAACTTTGTCTTGGCCCAAAAGATACTGTGGTGCTTTCTGCACCTCTCTAATGAAATAATGCATTTCAAACATGCCATCTCAATCGCAACACCGGAAAGTCCAGGATTTTTATTGCTGTGGTACTAATTTTTAGAGAAAAAGATGCTTATTCAAGACTTTGAGATGCTGCTGCATTGAGGGTGTGGTGAGGCTTTGCACTGTGCCCCCTCGGGCAGCACTTGGCCTTCGGGAGGCTTGGATAAAGAGCCTTTGGGTCAGCACCAGTGGTATCAGACATGCCCCAGACATGCACAGTGCTCTGAATGTGTGGTGCTGTTGGTGGAGGAGTCTTATTCATACAATCATTTAAATGTATATAGACTTTGCTGCAAGTACATGTAATGTGTGCCAAAAGCTACTTTGCTTTATTTACATAGAGTGTCTCACCAGTGTTTTGAGTTGTTAATACACTGGATACCCAGCTTATCGTTGCACATTATTCCTAGATGGGTTTGCTGGTGATTGAAATGTTTTCTTCCTTGAGAAATATGAATTTGTGAACTTTTGCCTTAGGTTGCTTTCCAGAACGATCCTGAAGCTGCTCTCATTCAGTACTTGAGTAACGACGAGGCGAGGAAGGCAATTTCCAGCACAGAGGCGGTGCTGAGCAATCGGTTCATCCGGGTGCTGTGGCACAGGGAGAGCGAGCAGCAGCCCCCCCTGCTGCAGCAGCAGCAGCCACCGCCCGCCCCGCAGGCCCTGCAGCACCTGCAGCAGCAGGCCCTGGCCACGCAGCCCGCCGTGACGGTGCACAGCAGCCTGGCCAAGGTACGTGCACTGCCAGGGGGCCCAGCAGCATTCCCAAGTGCTGCTGCCGCACAAAATGCTTTGCGGTGTCTGACCTTGATGTGTTTGGATCTATGGATACACAGGTGATGAACAAACCCCTGGCATCTGGTGCCTACGTCCTTAACAAAGTCCCAGTGAAAAGACGCCTTGGAGCAGCGGGGGGGAGCCAGCCTGAGCTCAGCCAGCCCGGGGCTGGCGTGGAGGAGTCTCAGGTATGTTGAGAGTGGTCATGCTCTCAGGTACAGCTTTGGTTTGTCAGCCAGGAAGGAACGAGCAAAGAGAACTTGTTCCCACTTGGTTCTGTTCCTTTTCAGTAGTGTTTCATGTAGCCATGGTCAGTCACTTCTTCCTTGTTTCATCAACTGTTTATATGGAATAGGGACAATGACTTTAGGAGCTATTAGCTACAACACTATCAGTGTTTTAAATAGCATAAAATATTTTTGGCAGTGCTTAATAGTAAACAAATCTGACAACCTGTATGTGAGACCAGCCTTTTGTTGACAAATGCAATGGCTCTCCCAGTAATTTTTGGGCTTATGCTGTGCTTTAACAGCAGTGCTAGAAGCTTAGAGAGTATTTGTGGCGAGAGTTCAAGCTGATATTGTTCAATTCACACTCACACTGTAGTGCAGCACGTGTTCTGGGCCACGGGGAAGTCCTTTTAAGAAAGGAAGCATGGAGTGGCTTTTGCTGCCTTACTTGATCAGAAAGTGGGATGTTGGGCTGTGACTGTGGAGCTGAAGCTGAGGCAAGTGCAGATCATCACCTTCAGCAGTGTCCTGGTGGGAATCGGGATGCAAAGGGAGTGTGCCATGGAGAAGGAAAGACAGTATCTTTCCTAAATCCTTTTAACTGGACTCATGTCTTTATCCATGTGTTTTAATTGGACTTTCTGCCTCCTTACACAAATCTGTACATCTGAGTTGGTGTTTCAGGGAACGTGATCTGCTGGAGTTCCCTGCTGGTATATCACAATCACTTTAAAATATTCCATATTTTACTGTGTGTTTTTTACTATTTCAGATATTTCCTACTTCTACAAGCCACTCAAAAATGGTTTACAGTTCTCCAAACTTGAAGACAACTCTGAAGTCTGGTGCAGGGTCTAAACCTCACGATGTGCAAGAAGTCCTTAAAAAAAAGCAGGTACTTAATGCTTGATGTGTGACAGTGTGAGGAGCAAAGTGCTTTAAACGTAAGGTTTGATGGCATCTGAAACCTCATCCTCTACAGCTTTATATGTGGGGGTGGAGCTGGTCATGGTTCTGGGAGAGCCTTGCAAACACACATTGGGGTGTGGAGTCTCCTTTTGGGGTGTCTTACTCAATGCACTTGGCCATGTTGGGTCTTCTGGGTTTGCTTGGGGTTTTCTGGATTTAATGTCTGTAGGTGTGAGATTCTTGCATGACAGTGCACAGTATATTTCTTAAGAGGTGTCTGAAGGGGAAAAAATGTTAATAAAGTACCTTACAGCCAGCAGGTAATTAGCATTTTATTTATCTTTTATTTATTTAATCAGCTGCACTTCATACTTGTGCTTTTTGCAAATCGTACTTTTGGTTGTAGATTTCACTTCCATAGCTCAAAGAGGACAATATGATCTCTATGAGTACATATAGTGCTAGACTGCTTTTTACTGATGGAAAGAATTTTCTCCTCTTGTAGGAGGCAATGAAACTCCAGCAAGATATGAGGAAAAAGAAGCAGGAGATGTTAGAAAAACAGATAGAATGCCAGAAGGTAAGTCTGGGATGTGGCTAGTAAATACATTCTGATTTTGTAGGTACCTGTTTGTTCAGGGCTGTTTTTCCTGGAATTTTATGTTCCTGTTCTTTTATAATTGTTTAGATGCTGATATCCAAGCTGGAGAAAAACAAGGCCATGAAACCAGAAGAGAGAGCAGAAATTATGAAGACTTTAAAAGAACTAACAGGAAAAATATCTCAGTTAAAGGATGAATTAAAAACTTCATCTACAACCTCCACACCATCCAAGTTGAAGTCCAAGACAGAGGTATTTATTGTGCAAAACACTTTCCTGCTTGGTTTTTGTAACTATTTCTATTAATAAATATATAATATAAATACTTTTTATTAATATGTCTTAAAAATGCAGTAGCATTAGATCAAAACACTTGCAAGCAGCATTTTAATGTGAATGATAACCATGGACAAACAAGCCATGGTCGAAGGAGCTCCATGACCTATTTTTGCTTGTAGCTCATTCATGCTTGTTCCAGTTCTAAAGCAGAGAATTCTGGGTCCTTCAAAAAATGGTGGGGACCACACACACGCAGAGGCAATTAAAATAAAACTGAATGTAGGGAAAAGTGTGGTTGTTGTATCCTGATCTGTCCATATCACTTACATGACTGTACTACTGAAGTGGAATAAAACATTACAAGTGTTTCTTACAGTTCTTTCCTTTCCTTTTGTTTTCTCTTCCCACCTCTTTTTCTGCCAGGCACAGAAGGAACTGTTGGATGCAGAGCTGGACTTCCACAAGAGACTGTCCTCTGGAGAGGACACAACCGAACTGCGGAAAAAGCTCAATCAGCTACAGGTGGAGGTGAGCCGTGTGCACTGCTGCCAGGGAGTGTTTGAATTGTGGTGTTTCAGATCCCTCAGCGTGGGGATGGCTGTGTTCTTTCCCCAGGCTGCCCGCTTGGGCATCTTGCCTGCTGGCCGAGGAAAGGCAGCGGCAGCGCGGGGCCGGGGCCGGGGCCGCGGGGGCCGAGGCCGGGGAGTGCTGAACCACATGGTGGTGGATCACCGGCCCAAGGCGCTCACCGTGGGAGGCTTCGTTGAAGAGGAAAAAGATGAATTGTTACAGCACTTCTCTGTAAGTGTCACCTATAAATTAATATACATTTCCTCTACTGCTGTAAAATCAAGCTCCTCTTAGAATAGCAATAAATGGGAGCTTTTGCCCAAAAATACAAGTGCTGCAATACTGCTGGCTGATGCAGCTGGGAGCCCACTGGCTCTCACGTTTCTGTCCAAAAAATCAGATTTGAGTGTCAACTGCAGTTGTACCACATGGTTATGGAGGTGGAGGAGAACATTACTGCTGGTCCTAACAAACTTTTCCTCACAGAAATTTGGAGATATTGAAGATCTTCAAGAAGAGGATTCCCCATTAAGTGTTGTTGTAACTTTTAAGTCCCGCTCAGAAGCTGAGAATGTAAGTAGAATCGTGGAAATATTTTTTCACATATCTAAAATAAGAGTTTTTAATGACTTGTGTCTGCCTTTGTATCTTAAAATTCCAGGGGCTTTTATCCCCCAGTTTGAGCTTGATAGGGTTTGGTGCTGCTGCAGGTAGTGCTGCTGAAGGGGAAGTACCTCCTGGTGGTCTGAGCAGTGACACAGGGCTCTCCCTGATAAAGCTGCATGTTCCTGGCAGTTCCGAGCTCTGCTCATCCTCTCACAGTGCCCTGGCAGGAGCAGGAATTGGCAGATTTGGGTGTGGCTGAAGGTGCTCTTGGAAACTGAAGTGGGTGATTGTGGTTCATATATCTGAGATCTTCAAACATGCCTCTGTACCACATGCTCGGGGTCTGGCTTGTTGCTGATGTGAAAAGTTCTTCTCCCTCTGAGAATGTGTGCATTTAAACACGACTCAGGCTGCTAACCAGGGATCCCGCTTCAAGGACCGACGGCTCCAGATCTCGTGGCACAAACCCAAGGTACCTTCTGTGTCCACAGAAGTTGAGGAAGAGGAGTCCAAGGAAGAGGTATGAAAATCTCCTAATAATGTGATCATTCTTACTGGAGTGTAATAGATGAGAGCTCTTAGGATGCAGTTTCCTATGTGCTGAAGAAACTTCATAAAAGATGTTTTTACAAACCAGGAACTGAACTGGATTTGAATAGTCAGGTGCATTTCCCACATTTTAAAAGAGAAAATGGGAAAAAAAAGACAATTTTTTTGGCTGGGCTGTTAATTTGTCAGTGATGTAAACAAGCCCTGGGTTCTGTATGTGCAGGCTGCAAAGCCTTTTATCCCTCACTCTTCCTGCTCTACTGTAGGAGAAGTTGTGTGTTCTTCCCTCTAATTCACCTTAACACCTTGAGCTTTTAAAAGTTATTTTCTTGTGGCATTTAACAGAAACCTGGTTTGGGAGAGGGTGAGTGGTGGTTTATTCCTGCTTCCTCTGAAGGTTTGCTCTCTTTCTCTTTCCTGACGTGAGGCTGCTGTTTTTCCCCTAAAACTGTTTGGATGTAGCTGTGTGTGTTTGAGACACACGCCAACACCCGAACCAGATACCCCTACAGCTGGTGCTGTGAACTGGGATGGGTCCCTGGGCATAGCTTGGAACTTGTGTCTCAAAGTTCATTTTTTTCTTCCTCCAGGAGACTGAAACCTCAGATTTATTTTTGCACGAAGATGACGACGATGATGATGAAGATGAGGATGAATCCCGTTCTTGGAGAAGATGAAACTTGATGTTCGAAGTGTATAATTTTAGGAATATAGTTCAAACTACATCTTTTAAACATTTATTTAAGGAAGTTGATGAGCCAAAAAGAGCTTTACTTTCTTTTCAAACCACAAGATTTACTATGAGCAGTTTGGTATGAAAGCATTTGGGACACAGAGCTGTGAGACTGAGCTAGCCAAAGGCCCAAGAACTTCTTACAGGATTATCAAGATCACCAGGGTGGTGATTTTTTTCTATTTAAGAAGGATTAAAAAGGTGGGGGGGAGGGGGAGGGAGG